AGAAGCAGAAACAAGATTTACCAATATCCTTTCCCTTTATCCCCTTCCAATCCTCTTATAAATGTTTTTATTAATCTCGAGTAAACCGCGAGTATTCAGCCCCCATTCTACTAACATAAGTTGTCAAAAAAATTATAAAAAATTACAAGTAAATTAATTTGGCTCTGCAAAGGTACCGCATTTGAGCCTTGACAAATAAATGGATTAAAAAGAAAAATGTACAAATGCTGGACCGGTAATCAAAACAGCATGGACTTGCTTTGCAACTGCGTGTTTACCGACTGAGCTACACCGTTCGAAAAATTCATTTAAATTTCTGCGAGATATAGCGCACATAACATTTAATGTGCTGGAAACATTTTTCACATTTAATCACAAGTGATGAGAATCACGAAATTATTCTCGTTGATGAGTTGAACTTTACAGCGATTATTGACATCTTGAACACTTTGAATGACCTTAAGGGGGATTTCCGGTTCAATTGACCAATTTTTCCAGGGAACCGGTTGTAACCGTTCGTGAAATTTCGCTGAGGTTTTGATTTAACTCAGTGGCTTAAGCGCCACTCTCTATTAAGAGAGACCACTGGTCGTGTTAAAGCTTTGCCCGACAAATGAGACTTTTCTCTCAGAGGACCTCTTGAACGGTCGTTGGTTACTAACGGCAATGAAAAAAACTATTAACTTTCTGGAAATGCCAAGTCCTTCAGTAATACAGGAATGGAGCGCATGAACCAAATAAATAAACCAAGGTATTACTCTGACTCACCCCCGAAACGAAACGGAAAGAGAACGAAGGAATGCTGACTCAACTGAGCGGAAACGAAAGAAAACAGAACGTAACGTAGTAAGTGTGTTTTATTCAGGGAGTAGCATTCAAAACGTTCGAAAAACTAATCTTCAACTTTTTCTTTAAACTATATTCTAGCATTCATTCGCATTGGATTTCTGAGAGGGGTTTACGGGAAAGAGCAAATCATGGCCATGAATTAAACATGCTCTCACATACCTGCGCAGGTTTTACTTGACGAACCGATGAATCGATGACTACTGACCGGTGAGGGCTCGACGACTCGATGATGGCGGTGTAGCGATGGCGGCGTAAACGTGATGGTGCCGCTCACGTGCGGCAGTATGGCGCGCAGCAACGGAAAGGTGACTCGTACGCGGTATGGCCGAATTAGAGTTGCGGAGGGAGTGGCGGCTGGACGGAAGACTTCCGATTTGGCAATCGAGAGCTGAGCTACGACGAGAAGTCGTGCTGTCCCGGGAGATTCGCTCCGCAAAGAGAAGAGGCCAACTTACCTTCGGACGGCTTCGCGTACTTTGTTTCCGCTATGACCATCCGTGATGAAATGAACCCCCTCTCCCGTTGGATTGAATCCGGACCGTGGCACGTTTTTGGCGACGCACTCACACGGTCCGAGCTCTCGGAAATTATGGTCCACGGGGTTGTAGTGGAAGGGACCTCGTCGACGGATGATTGGCGACCGTCGGAAGATATTTCGCTTCGAAGATTAGCGAACTTCACCCACCTCCGTTTAGCTACCTTCGAAAAGGCGGGCCTTAGCAGGGCGCACGAGTCACTGGAAATGTCCGTGTCCCACGAACGATGATGGCGATGCCACAGATGGAACCCCCGATCCGGCGTTGACGATAGCCGAACGGAACGTATATCCAGCCCGTACAAAAAAAGCGCAACGCGCTGGAAATCCAACGCGAACTCACATTACTCATACAATTCTAAATTTTAACAAAATTCAATAAAATTACCTTTTTTGTACAATATCACAAATAAACGCACTGAACAGACTACGCGGAACTTAATACGGACTTATGTCCACTGTACAAAAAGAAAGAAAACGTTTAAAAAACCACTGGTTGATAAAAACTCACTCACTACTATTTAGTACCTTTAGAGAAACTTATCGCACAAAATCAAATTGATTTAATATAAGTCGAGAACGTAAAGTAATTCGCGCACTTCTGTTATCCAGCCGATTCGAAAGCGAAACGGATGAGTCAGAATAATTTTGCGAGCAGGAAAATTCCTAACGACCTTTTCCTATTCAGATAGGTCATCTTTTAAAAACTCTCTCTTTATTCGAGAGTTGCGCCAAACCTTTCGAATGGCGACGGACTTCATGGCGCCTCCAGAAAGCATGTACAATATAATACAGCTCACTATAAGTTGAGCTTTTATGGCGAAGTTGTAGCCTAGACACAGTAAATATGGCAAAGTTGTTAAATCGACACAGTAATGGTCTGATTTTATTTACACGGTTGAAATATTTAATTTCTTAGCAAACTTGACATAAAAAGGATTTATTTGTTAATTAAATTAGATTTCAACGAAAAACTATTTACAAATAACCGTAAAACGTTACATGGTAAGAGTTAGAGACCTGAGTTTTTTGTCTACTCTTTATTCATTCTTGCTCTACAACTGGGATTTTTTTCAAGTCCAAAAATCCAAAATGGCGTCCAATATAGCGGCTGCCCGGCGGGTACTTCCCAAAACTGCGAGCAGCCTAGAGGTCGCAAATCGTCACCTAGAAAGAAAATCGGCTCAGTTTCTTGAAGAGTATAGTTCAGAGAATGGAATGAACTAGAATCTTTGAAAAATCTCAAAATTTGACAAAATGGCGGGCATTTGAAAAAAAAAGTTATTTACCTAGTTACCGCCATTTTGTCAAATTTTGAGATTTTTCAAAGATTCTAGTTCATTCCATTCCACAGTGGTACAGAATGCAGATTTAGGTGGAATGATATGTTTTTAGCCTGAAATTGAAACTTTAGACTAAAAGTCTCTTCTACAAAGTTGTTCCTTATAGTTAGGCCCTCATTTTTATGACAATGAATTCTAGGGTGGTTCCTACTATCATTAAAATCAAAAATCTAACTTTTTTGTTTGAATAAATTAAGGTATACATTCTTCGGCAAAGTTATAGCTGAGCTAATTTCAAGCAACTTTGTTGGAAATAACTTTTTTGTATCTCTTAAATTGGCCGATTTAGAGCTATTTTCTTGAATTGAGTTAGGGTGGCTCTTAAAAAAACAGTTTTTTTGCTCTATTTTTCTTATTTTGAATTTCTCAGCAAAGCTGTCTTCATATAGCTTTTAGATCTTAAGAAGGCGCAAATTTTTGCTGCAAAACTTGTCAATATCTTTCGCCGATCAAGAGTTATTGACGTTTGTATACTAAAAATATGCACTTTTCAAATGTTAATATCTCTGGTTGGGGCAAACAAAAAAAAAGTTTTTTTGCAGCATTTGAAAGGGCGTATGTTATTCTCAATAATATGAAAAAATTGGAGGTATGTTATTTTTTAAACTCGTATAAAATCAATTTGAATTTATTCATTTTTTTTACTATATTTGAGTATATCTTTTTTATTAGAAGAGATATAGGCAACAAATTCCGGTATAAAACATTCATCCTAAAGAGTTTTAAAAGTCTCTAGAAGATAACTTTCATGAGAATTTTCAAATAAAAAAAGTTATTGCTAAAAAACTATTTTTTCCAGAAACACCCTAAGTCAACCCAAAAAAATTACTCTAAAATGAGAACGTTAAGAGATAGAAAAAAAATTTCTTCGACAAAGTTGCTTGCAAGTAACTTAACTACAACTTTTTTGAACAACACATGTTTATATTTTGTAAAAAAAAAGTTAGTTTAAAAATTCCCTAATTTGAGGACCACCCTGACGTTTGCAAACACCAAAAGAAGGGAATTTTTAAGACCAAAAACTTCTTCGAAGACACTAAATGTCCAAATATTGAAACAAATGTACTAGCACATTTTATATAAATTTGTCATTAGAGTGGTCCTATGAAATCCATTTTTTGTCAATAACTTTTTTATTTGAAATTTATCATGAAAATCATCTTCTAGAGACTTTTAAAACTCTTTAAGACGAATGTTTTATACCTGAATTTGTTGCCTATATCTCTTCTAATAAAAAAGATATACTCAAATATAGTAAAAAAAAATGAATAAATTCAAATTGATTTTATACGAGTTTAAAAAATAACATACCTCCAATTTTTTCATATTATTGAGAATAACATACGCCCTTTCAAATGCTGCAATAAAACTTTTTTTTTTGTTAGCCCCAAACAGAGATATTAACATTTGAAAAGTGCATATTTTTAGTATAACAACGTCAATAACTCTTGATCGGCGAAAGATATTGACAAGCTTTGTGCAGCAAAAATTTGCGCCTTCTTAAGATCTAAAAGTTATATGAGGACACCTTTGCTGAGAAATTCGAAATAAGAAAAATAGAGCAACAAAACTGTTTGTTTAATAGCCACCCTAACTCAATTCAAGAAAATAGCTCTAAATCGGCCAATTTAAGAAATACAAAAAAGTTATTTCCAACAAAGTTGCTTGAAATTAGCTCAGCTATAACTTTGCCGAAGAATGTATACCTTAATTTATTCAAACAAAAAAGTTAGATTTTTGATTTTAATGATAATAGGAACCACTCTAGAATTCATTGTCATAAAAATGAGGGCCTAACTATAAGGAACAACTTTGTAGAAGAGACTTTTAGTCTAAAGTTCCAATTTCAGGCTCAAAACATATCATTCCACCTAAATCTGCATTCTGGACCACTGTGCATTCTCTGAACTATACTCTTCAAGAAACTGAGCCGATTTTCTTTCTAGGTGACGATTTGCGACCTCTAGGCTGCTCGCAGTTTTGGGAAGTACCCGCCGGGCAGCCGCTATATTGGACGCCATTTTGGATTTTTGGACTTGAAAAAAATCTCAGTTGTAGAGCAAGAATGAATAAAGATTTGACAAAAAACTCAGGTCTCTTACTCTTACCAGTTTCCTGGAAAAAAAAAATCCAAAGTTTTGGTCAATTGAACCGGAAATCCCCCTTAACGCAACAAATAGCAAATTCTCTTGACCATGCAGTGAAAGTTTTGCGGACTCAAAAGGTTCAAATTTAGAACTATAATGGATAAACATATTGTGTTTCAATCTTACATCTTTAGCGGTTACGGTGATGGTCCACGTTCCCAGCACCGGTACGGCTGCCATTTGGTATGATGTTTCGAAAATGCCCTTGTTAAGCTTGGCAAATGTCCAGTGTCTGACAGAATTGTCATCCTTGTCCTTGATGAGGACCTCGATCGTTTTGATGTTGGTCACGGGTTTTGTCTCGATATCCACCACGACCACACGGAAACGAAGCACATCTCCCGGCTTATACACCGGTTTGTCGGTTTGAATGAAGATGGAAACAGTTTTTTCCGGAATCATCAGATCCACGTCATAGTAGACGACAACTTCGCCACCATCGTTGATGGCCGAGAACGTGCACTCGCTTGTATCGGCGATACTCGGAACGGGAAACTGAACATGCTTTCCTGATATGCGACCAAGCTTTAAAGTGGACTCCTTTTTGAGAACGGCATCGTCGAAATCGTTACACTGTAGCGAAAGGTTTAGTTTCACGTTCTTATTCAACGGGTTCACGAATGCGACCGTATACGGTCGGTTGGGTCTTATGTACTTCGAACCGATGATGGAAATGCTAAAAAGCAATTAAAGAATGGTCATCAATTGGCAAATCATATTGGCTCTTCACAAAAAAAAAACTATACCCATCACACCAAGAACTTTTTACAACTAATGCACAGCACACAAGAAAAACTAAAATCTTCATTCTTAATAACCAGATCACAGAAAATCCATCCGGCTAAAATATCGCTTCTTTCACACTCCTTTGAACGGTCTGCTTTGTGTCTGATCGTGCCGAGCTTGATCAATGGACTGGTTGAACAAGAGTCGGCCTCATGCATGGTGAGAGTTCTTATCGGTTTGATTGGGGAATCCCGTTTATATAAAGATGTTCGTATCTGTAGCACCGGGTGAGACTGATGCTCACGGTAAATGATCTGAGATTTACTATTCCGGATTTTTTGGTCTGTCATAATGTAAGAGGTTTTTAAAGCCACGGAAGCTTGAACGGTTGTGTAATGTACCGGAATGCTTCACACTTAGAAAACATAATGTAAATTTAGGTGCTCTGAGATTGTCATATACGAGCGTCAATTTTGACATAAAATTGAGTCATAATTGACACAAAATTCAATTCAATCATACATACTTTCGAACTTTTCAGTCTCCGAGCACTTAATGTTACATGACATGTTTGTTTACGTCTCATCCTTAATGTCACGTGTAAGATTAGGTATTTCTAAGTGTGTGGCTGAAAATATTTTGTAATTATTGTGATGAATTCTATTTAGTAGTACATGTCAATGTCATGATAAGTTCTACACTCTAGTTACCGTACCTGGTACACAGAAAAAAAAAATCGAATTTTGAACATCGCGTAAAATCTCCTCTCGTTTAAACTGCACTTAAGTTAACAAAAACAACGAAATTCTTTACAATCTTGCACACTTAGAAAAATTGATGTAAATTTAGATGCTTTGAGACTGACATATACGAGCGTCAAATTTGACATAAAATTGAGTCATAACAGACGCGAAATTCAATTCAATCAAATGAAGTTTTCGTTGAGTATCGTACTTTTCAGTCTCGGAGCCCTTAATTTTATATGACATTTGTGTTTACTTCTCATAATTTATGTCAAATATTGATTCCGTCACGTGTAAAATTAGTTATTTCTAAGTTTGTGCATTAGACTGATGCAAAATTTGACTTTTTCGCTCCACAGTGCTTGAATGGTTTCAAATCGGTACCTGATTAGCCTCCCAAAGTTACAACTCATTTGGTTGGAAACAGACTTCGCACAAGACATTTGAAGTTTACATGTAAATTACTATGGGAAATCTCAACTTTTTGTTCATTGCCTTCTAGTATTTTTACATATTCAGCTGCGAAATAGTTCGATAGCCATTCTTATATAAAATTCTCTCAGCTACAACTTTGCTGAAGATCGTTTCTATGTAAAACGAGACAGGAAAAAGTTATTAATTATTTAAGAGATTGGTAAACTTATGACATGATCAAGCAGCTGCTCCGTAGGCAATACTGTATTTGCAGTGTGACATAGTAACCATGATTTTTGTGTCCTAATCAACGCCCCAGAAACACCAATGCTGTCTGCTGAGCAGTTGATTGAGCATGATCATAAGACATCAGCGCATTGAACCATTGATAACTTTCGATCCTTGCATTCAATCAAAAAGTGGTCTTAAGCAGCTGGGAAAATTTCCTACAAGTACAGTTGAAAGTTTTTTTAAGCAGACCGATATGGTGAGTTATTAGATAGACATGAACAAAAATCTTGGTTTTACCATAGTAATTCCCATACAAACTTCAAATGGTTTGTGCCATCTCAGTTTCTCACCAAATGGGTTCAAATTTTGAGAGGTTAGTCAGGATCGTTTAAGTATCGTGGAGCGAAAATTTCAAATTTTGCATTACTCTAGTGTGCATAAAACATCGTGTAAATTTATTCCAATCTCTAATCTATCGCAGAAATAAACATGACTTTTTCAAACTGTATTTTGTATGACATGTTATCACCGGGAAATCCCAGCCTGTTTTTCTTGACTACTATAGCTTCAACTGTAATCTATTGATAATGGTGAGGAAGATGACAGCATGGGAGCAGAAGACAGTGATGGAGCCCACTCGATCAAATCGAACATCGATAATTTTGCATTGAACATTAATTAAGTCGCATCGAACAATTCCGATGGCACCGCCTGGGATTGAACCCAGACCTTAGGAGTGCGAGGTAGTCACACTTACCAACGGCGCCGCTCACTGCAAGTAATGTTTACATTCGATTGTTATGTTGTTTATAAAAAAAAAGGAAACACATATCGAACCGTCTTGCCGGGAAAGAAATACATTCTGGTATCCACGAAAGCACCAGCATAAGGAAGAACAGATCACAGACAAACAGACGTAACTCTTCATTGTGTATCTTCGTTCATGCATTTAACGGTTGATTTGAATATTATCAGTTCCGCGAACTACTCGCCGCAGCGCTGGCATCGGATCATTTTGACGTTTCTATACATTCTATAGAACTTTTATGCAATATTGTTTACGAGTTAGCGAGCAAGCTTGTTTTCCGCGAGAAGCCAGAGAGATGTCGTTACTGAGGTTATATGTTTTGAGATACTATGTTTTCAAGAACAAGTTTTTCAAAGAGTTACGTCTGTTTGTCTGTGAACAGATGCTTAAATTAGCTAAAGATGCCTTGCAATAAAACCAGGACAATCGCAACGGAACAGTTTCTGATTGTAAATCCTAGATTCTCACCAGCAGCAGCCCAATTACGGCCCCACCAATTAATTAATAGTAGCAAAACACATGTTCGTACATCGATGAAAAGTGCATCGGCGTGCTGTCTGTCCACTCTCATGAATCAACAGCATGAACCCTGGGTGAAACGAAGATGAACTCCAAAATCGAACCAATTTCGCTGTCAAATCGAACCAATATTTTACCATCCCGGTATGATGCAACAAATACAAGTATTGCAGTCCCGTAATATTAAACATAATCAAGCTCACCTCGAATCATTTTGTTTATGACGGATGTATTGAAAATTCAAGCCTCACATTTCAAAAGCATCAAAATCATTAATGTATTTATTTGTTTCATCCAAGATTGGTTCATTTTACTTCTCTGGCCACCCTTTTTCTCTTTGCTGCGGCTTCCAACTTTCGATTTTTCCCCGAACCAGGCTTCCTGGCTGTCGACAAACGTTCCCCGAATGGTTTTATTGCCTTGTTGACAGTTGCTTTGGTCACTTTTAACGATTTCGCTAACTCAGGGTGCGAGTAGTTCAGATTTTACCGATGCGCGTGCAAACTACACTCAAAAAATTCTACACGTCATCATCATGTGTCTCACACTTGATTTTGCGCTTATTGTGAATCACATCTATTTCATGTGTGAATCTTATGCTATGAACCATGCCTGAACACTATGGATTTGAATTGTGACACACTTGGATTATATGTGTCTCATTTGGTGATATCATTTGCTTTGCACATCATAGTTCAATATTCTACAATATTCTACTTTATCGACTTCTACTTTGCCGACTCTAAAAATGAATCGACAAATATATAAACAAAACTGCCAGAGGCCAAGAGCTTACACATATCTTTTCAATGGGTCTGATTTGGGATTCGATCATGGACTGTTGGGGTGTGCTGCTGCCGGAATCTTTTTTCGATCCCACTGTGACACGGTTGTTCTCATGTATATGAGGCGGGTTGATAGGATAAAGTCACAACGATGTTTACCTTTCTGAGCAAGCAATTCACATCGCATTGAAAGCAGGGGGATCCTATCCCTGTCAACCACATATAGATGCACCATAGCTCACATGATCTTGACATTTTTGAAAAATCTGACACTTTTGGACATACTGACAGCGGTAAAACTGACGGAGGCCCGACAGAACAAGACAGCTTACTTTTTCACACTTGCATTGCAGTGCTGAATGCTAGAAAGAGTAGCCTGTTGCAGTCATCCTCCTTACCCACTATATTTATCACATTGATGTGAGCTCCGCCGAAATTCGTGATTGTTGCCCCCGTGATTGAAAGGCAAAACACTTTAAATCCATCTGTTTTGAACAGTAGTGTGATTCAATGTGCAATACACATGAATAGATAGTGAAAGATTTTCAACATTTCAACATTTTGAACCAAGGTGAAAAACACTTAAAGTAAATGTGATTGGACATTCAAAAAATCAAGTGCTTAAACACGTCGATCAAACGTGCGGAATTTTTTGAGTGTATGGATGCGTTGCACCTCTTGCTTGGACGCCATAACTGAAGAGCAAATGTCAAAATCAAAATGAGGGGTGTTCAGGTCAGCGTTGCCAGATATACCGATTTATCGGCATTTATACCGACTTCCGAACTAGATACCGATATACAGATAATGTTCCACAGAATACCGATTTTTGATATGTTATACCGAATCATACCGATTTTTTTTTTAAATAATCAAAATGATGATTGCCTGCCCGCACTCGAATTTCGGAGAAAATTTTTGTGAGAGACTTGTATCCATGGACCCCTTTGGGTCCATGCTTGTATCTTTTTGAATACCTCATATTTTTTGAGCCTTCAAAATTCTAAACAATGATCTTTAGAGATGCCTTATGCTTGATACTCTTGCGACTAATGTTTGCATTTCCTCCTTTTGGTTGACTACCCATTAATTGAGAAATAGTCCCGGTAATTCCTAGAGAATCGAGAAATTTTTTTGAAACATTATTTAACTTCCAGAAGTAATTATTCATTTTTTAACTTCCTGAACTTTCATCCAATGGAATTTTCTTGCACCTTACCTTGGAAGCTTCTTCAGCCTTCGCTCAAATGATTCTTTCATCTTCTCCCGCCATTTTTTCACCTTTCCCGGAACTTCAAGGATGCTATCAGAATTTTATTGCGGATCCACACTAGCTTCAGGAATATTTAAGATGTTCTGAAACTTCAGAAAAGTCCAGACTTTTGTGTAAGTTTCGATAAATTTAAGACAGTTTCATTAACTTCTGCTAAAGTTTGAAAACCCGGAAAAGTCCAGTGAACTTCAGCGAACTTAAGGAAACATCATAAATATTTTGGAAATTTCACAAGTCCAATAAACTTCAGGGAAATTTAATGGTTTTCAGGAACTTTAGTGAAGCTCAGACAACATCAAGACAGATCAAAACTTCAGCAATGTCCTGAGGGGCTCATTCAACTTTAAGAAACGTCAGGGAAGTTACATGAACATTAGAACATTCTGAGAACATTTAATG